TATTCATTTTTCCACCATTGATTTCCATCATATTATAATTTTAGTGACTTATACGTGTGTGTGTGTGTGTAAAGTTTGAGACTTAAATCACTATCAAAAATACGTTGAAAAAATCAAGTTGAAAGTGTTTAAGTAATAAGATTTCATGCGCTACAAATAAAAGACACTTTAAAATAGTTGGTGAAAATATGTGATAATCATAAAAAAAATTGCTGCCTCAAATGAAACTTGAACCTGCATTTCATGAAAAACTTATTATTCATAGAAAGAAACACTTTAATAAAAATATTAATAATTAAATAATACAATCAGTCGAAGAATCTTTCAAGATTAATTATTTCTTATATATAGTTGATCAAGCTCCTTCTTCACTTAAGGTTAGAACAATTTAAAAAATATATATATGTGAGAATATTTTTAGTTTCATTTAAAAACTTGCAGACTCCATAAGATAATTGTTTAAGTATTGGTGTGATAAGCTTGAAGATTTTTTAAGCACGACAGTTGTTCTGATAATGTAGGACACAAGTTATTTTTGAGCCGCAATTATGAGAAATTGTTTGTAAGAAGAGACCAAAAAAGCTATTGAAGTGTAAGGTTACATAGACTATTGGTTTTAAAATGCGTGCATTGTTTAAAGAATAATATTGACGATACTAATTACAGTTGCATTGCATTTGTTGAGAGCTCCTCCTCAATATTCTTTAATTTTCTTTTCTTTATTTTTATTTTATTTAAATATGATTGTATATTCATCATTTTACAGCTTTTAATTAAGAAAATGGATGAAAATAATAGTTTCGTAATGTAATGTGAAAATGATAAGAAATGAAATATACGAACATTTTGCACAATAATATTGAAAGGCATGAACGTTTTATACTAAATACTCTTTTAATAATCTATTGGGACTTATTTGCAGTTTTTTTCAAAAAATTGAAAGTATAAATACAATTTGTTCTTTATTTTTCTTTTTTTATTTAGATAAGAGAATATAATTGCATTTTAGATTTTTTTTATTGAGAAATTTGCAGAAAATGCAATTTTCTGCAATGAAATGTGGAAACGCCAAAAAACAAAAGATAAAGACATTTTGCACAATAACATTAAAAGATAATTTTTGTATTAATTACCCTTTTATAAATATAATATCACGTGAGAATGTTGATATTGCAAGAAAAATATTGCACTTTTCATGTTATCACGTATAATATACCAACTTGCAACGTTTATTCACACATCTTCATCTTATCTGAATGTGAAAAAGCCGAAACTCTAAGCTAGAGCTTTTTTGAGTCGAAGTTTTTTTGGGCTAAGTCCAGCCAAGCAAAAGCTCGAACGAAAAAATGAGGCTCAACCTGTACTTTCGACGCGAGCCTTACTTATTTTTTCCATGACGCAACAGCCAACTGCCTTTTAAAATAGGCAGCTGGCTGATGAAATTTTATTTTATTTTTTCTCTTGAGCCAGCCCACCGACACATGATCCCGACACCCCATGATGGGGCCGAGCCAAGAACGGCTCAAGCCAACTAGCCAATTTGTCATCCCTTCCTTTGATATCATCTTATGATTGTTCCCTTCAGGAACTCCGTAGAATTATACACTTGAGACTTGGAGGACAAAACTTGTGAGTCATTCCAGTCTAACACGACAGGACTTTTATTTTTATTATTTTTTTTTTTTACCGAGCATCAAGAGGAGCTGTTTAGTGGCACCAGAACTAAGTTATTTAGTTCGAATGCGTCCATCAACTTGATGCAAACGCTCTGTATATACCACGTATAAAAATCAAATAGATGTTTGGTTAATCAGTTTTCGTCCATTTTACACATCAAGAGTATTACGTGTGAATAGATTAACCAAAAACTTAAGTATAATTTGATTTATTTAAGCATATTTAAATATGTGTAAAATAAATCTTGCGCAGCTGCAGAACCAAACTTGAAGCTTCAAATTTATATCCTCATTCCCTGACCGATTGAGACTCATTTTCGAAAAAGAAAATTAATCGGGAGTTAAATTTTAGATGTCCAAACATATAACCAACTCAGCCTATGTTCTATGTAGAGTCGTAGACGACCCCAGCCTGAGCAAAGGACAGTCGCTATTGAACTAACAGAATAGGTAGAGCGGAAAATGCCGATATTATCAATTTTTAGGTTTCAATTGCTCTGAGGTATCTCTTCCTTTTTGGTCTCCCAAGCTTCTAGAAGGTTAGATCAATATAGGACAGAAGAATGGCACTATTTTTCTTTCCTTTGGCCATATAATCGTAATGCCCTTTTCCCGACTAGCAAAAGCAGTAGTTGACGTGTATTAAAAAAGAATAAGCCTATGGTCAAACTTGAGTTGCTTCGCTCTCACTGGTCGGGTCACTGTCAAATAGGCTCATCAGATAGCAAGCAAACCACAGCGCGACTTCAGGCTGTATGGAGCAACCTTAGTAGATTGACAACCAGCATTAAACTATGTTAAATCTTAACACCTAATACACATTTCTTTAAACTAACATGTCCCCTGAAAACTGCTAAGGATCTAGTTCTTCCAGAACCGAAATGTCAAAACCAAGATCAATAGATGACTGCTTAAAAGTACAGCTCAAGTTTTAAGAAAACTCCTTCGTGCATGATCAGAACAACAGCATCAACCAAGATCAATTCTCAAACAAGTCATATCATGTTCAACGATCATCATTATTAAACATAAATAACTAAACTCCTCAGCCACTTGATAAAATATGATATGCTGGTCACTCCAAACTTAAAACTTCAATCTCAAAAACCAGAACTGAGTTAGGCTGAATGCCCCATGCTGGAAATCCACCAGGACCATAGGCATAGTCGGGAGAGCACTGTAAAAATTTATAAAGCTAAAATGAACAACACCTCTTATATAGTTAACCACAGATTTAGCAAGAGTTAAATATGCAAGCAGGAAAGCACATTCACTCCTAATATTATTATGTTTTTCGTTGACAACCCCCAAAAAACTCAGAAAAGGAAAGAACTGATTGATCTTAAGCAATGATAAATTCCAATAGTGAGACAAAAAGGTTGGTCCAGCAAAACTTGCCATCTTACTTAAGAATTTCAACTACGATTCTAATAAGCAAAGTATCAATCAATGAAGAACTGAAGTATGAGCCACAATAGTTGTAGGTGTAAGAGAGTAAGAGAGAGGTTTCATTACCAATTAGAGCTTAAACAAATACTCGGGCGGTATAAGTCATGATAGAAAACCTAAGACGAAAAATGTTCCACAACTGAGCTTAAATTAGAAACTTGTTAAAATTTGGCCCCTTACATTTTATATCAAATATATATTTACAAAGATGTTCCAATTTATTAATGGGCATTAACGCTAGATACCATAGTGGCACAGTCATATAATTACACAAAAGAGTGAGTCGAGTTCATTTTCATGCTTTTGTACTCCTCATTTTATAAAAGTTTGAATCTCACAGGAAGCAGAAATTCAAAAGCTCAAGAACAAGAGACACACAGATTGTGTCATGCTTCATGGTCAACATGTGGCATGTTCTCAAACGTATCATCCCACCACCAATTTCCCAACTAAAGCTATAGTCATTTGACGCAATATGGATTAATCAAATGATGGAAATGACATTTAACCACGTAAGAATGAAACCAAGTATTTAAATATTACCTGTAATCGAGCAACTTCTCCCACTTGCATTCCCAACACACCTTCATCCCATCCTGTGGAAAAAATTGCGGTACATAATTGTAATTACAAAAAAAATAAATTTCACATTGAGCAATTCCAGGAAGCAATTTTCAAGCTAGCAAAAGCCTTAGCATAATAGCTAAACTACAAAATAACATCTTGATGATACAAGTTACAATACATAGTGGATTTAGCCAATTTATACAACATGGAGTTAAGAAGATTAAACAAATTGAAAAGCATGAAATGATTCCTTTACTCGGAATTTGCAGCAAAATACCAGCAACTCGTTGTTTCCACAAAGTATAAAAGAGAAAACTGGTTGAACTAGTTCAAAATCAAATCTCTAGTGTGTCGCTTTCACTAGGATTTCACATAGCTAATTATCTCGACCCATCCAAGGACCAGAATACATTCAACTCTTGCAAATTTTAATCAAACCCAACGAAGATCTATACTTCCATTTCACATTTCCATTCAGTTAATTCTCTTTCCTTCCTACCGAAGTTCGAAAACTAAATCATCTATTACAGATAATAGAACCAAAAAAAAAAAAAGAAAATCAACAGAAGAGTACCTTTGATTACTTTTCCTTGGCCAATTTGGAAAGCGAAAGGCTTCTGCCCTGGATCCTTGGTGCTATTACCAAAAATTTCAAATTCATGGTTATTTACATAAGTAAATTTTTAAATCTATATCTATACGCGCATAAAAAAAAATTAAGAATTGAAACCTATAAAAAGAACAAATTTACCTCCAGAATTTTTGGGAAAGGTCACCATTTTTACCAAAACCGGTGCAGTGGACGGTAACTTTCTGTCCGGGGACCGGTTTGGGACCAGTTCCAGCCGTCAGAATTTCCTTTTCCACTCCCATATCTCCGATTTTCTTGCTTTGGGGAGTTAGGGTTTGTTCCGGAACTCTGTGTAGTGTAGATTGAGCACCGTCGGTGATTGTAGAATCATCTTTAAAGTGTGCTGCACGTGAGAGGAAACAGTGGCCAATAGCTGGTTGACAAGGTTATATTTTCAAACAGGCCTTTGACCAATTAAAAAAAAAGCTAAAATATTTAAAATATTGAGAAGTCCAAATTTATCGTTACTATTTAAAGAAGAAAGAGAAGATAGTAAGGAAAGAGAATAATTACTGTATCACTGATAAAAAAGGGAAAATAGACGACCCATATTTAATGTTTTTATGTTGATTTTTGGAAGAAAAAAACATTATTTTGCATACATGTGTTGATTTTTGGAAAAATGCATGATTATTGGATAAGGATAATAGTTTGGGAGGAAGAAAATTGAGTGGAGATCGTCAAAAATGGAGTTTTCCGACGATCTCCACAAAGGAGACGGTTAGTCCAGCTGACTGGCCCGTTTAGGCATGCCCAGACGATCCAGACTCACCCACTGGGTCATCTGGGCCAATCAACTGTGCCCAGACGACCCAGTCAACTGGGTCAATTGCTTATATTGTGTTGTCTAATATCTAATTATTATTTGAATTGTTTAATTTTAATGTATATTATATATTTAAAATTATTTCTTTGAAATGCTTAATATAAATGTTTTATTATTTATCTAAATATTTATTATTTGCCAATTTAGTTTTAATTACTTATTTTATGTTAAGTAATACTAAAAATAATTAAAAGAAATAATTAAATATTAAATAATTAATATACATAAAGAACTTAAATAAATATTTAAACATCTATAAAATAATAAATAAGCAATTAAATTAAAAAATTAAATTATCAATCAAATTAAGTTTCTGTAAAGCGATTAAAATAAATTTTTAAATATTAAATAAGCAATATGCATAAAGAATTAAAAAAAGTATTTAAACATTAATTAAAAATAAATAATTAAATTAAATGTTAGTAAAATAATTAAAATAAGCAATGAAAATATTAAAATAAATGATGAAAATAAGTGTTAGTAAAAAAATTAAATGAAATAATTAAATATTAAATAAATAATATACATAAAGAATTTAAATAAATATTTAAACATTCGTAAAATAATAAAAATAAGTAATTAAATTAGAAAATTAAAATATCGATCAAATTAATTATATGCAAAGCATTTAAATAAATATAAATAAAGAATTTAAAGAAATATTTAATCATTTTTTATTTTTTAATATTGAATTTAATATTTTATAAATATTTCATGAATTATGCAAATTGTTTATTTGATTAAAATAATTAATTATTTTTTATTTCATTTTATTTAAAATATAAATAATGAAATAAATATATTAAACAATTGAATATTCAATAAACAATTAAAATAAATGAGAAATTAATATAAATAATTAAATGAAGTAAATAAATATGAAATAAACTATTAAAATAAGTAATTAAATATTAAACAAACAATATACATAACTAATTAAAGTAATTAATGAGATATTTAAATAAAATATTTAATTAAATATTTAATAAGTAATTTAATAAATCAAATAATACTTTAATTGTTTATGTATATTATTTGTTTAATATATAATTATTCATTTTATACTTTATTTGTTTATTTAAATATTTCACGAATTATGTTAATTATTTATGTATATTGTTTATTTAAATAAAAATAAATAACTAATTGAAATAAATTAAATAAATATTAATAAAATAATTAAAATAATGAATTGAAATAATAAATTACTAATTGAAATAAATTCAATAAATAAGTAACTTAAATGTTAACTAAGCAATAAAAATAATTAATTAACATAAATAACAAATAAATATAAATAATAAAAACTAGTTTAAATATGTAATTAAATATTAAATAAACAATTGAAATAAATAATTAGAATTTAAATATTAAATAAATATTTTAAATGAACGATAAATATAAAAAGAAGTAATTTAAATAAGTAATTAAATATTAAATAAACAATTTAAATAAACAATTTAAATAAATAATTAACGTTTAAGTATTAAATAAATAATTTAAATGAACCATAAGTATAAATAATAAGAGTAAGTAATTAAATATTAAATAAACAATTGAAATAAATAATTAACATTCAAAATAAACAGTTAAACATTCAATTAACAATTAAAATAAATATTAAATAAATAACCAAACAATTAAAATAAATAATTTAAATACACATTTAAATATTGAATAAATAATTAACAATTAAATATTCACAATTTAAATAAATAGTTAACAATTAAATATTTAATACACAATCTAAATAAGTAAATAAACTATTTAATTTTCAAATATTATGCTCTATCTATTGTCTCTTATGCAAGGTCCAAATATTTTAAATTTTACAAGATGAATTACCATTTGGACGTCGTTATGAGACAGATTCCCGACAAAGTTACGTCGAATTATAATTTTGTCAGTTTCGCATTAGTTCTAGATTTGTTGGATGAGGAACGCTCAGACCTGTTACACCGATCCTACTTATGACGGTAACTTTGGCACGGTTAGAAGATGCATTCGATGAATGTGACGATATGTTTGACAAGTTGAAGTTGGGGATATTTATACTAGAGAGCATATTGAGGTGTCATCACAATAAGACGTCGATCGACGTCTTTCATTTGGAAGTTGTCGATGACATTGACACATTCAATAACTATCCATGGGGACAAAGCTGACAGTGATCAGCTCTCCTCAACGATCCTGAGGTACGTATTATTCATTTGTGATTTATATTGTACGTCATTTCGAAATTTCGATGCATGGTTATTAACTCGGTGAACATTTAAATAATATTTAAATGATTATTTGAATGATAAATAATTAAATGATTATTTAAACGATAATAAATAACTAATTGAAATAAATTCAATAAACAAGTAACTTAAATTTTAATTAAGCAATAAAAATAATTAATTGACATAAATAACAAAGAAATATAAATATTTTAAATTTTACAAGATGGATGACCATTTGAACGCCGCCATGAGACAGATTGCTGACAAAGTTGCGTCGAACTATAACTTTGCCAGCTTCGCATTAGTCCTATATTTGTTCGATGAGGAGCACGCATACCTGTTACACCGATCCTACTTATGACAGTAACTCTAGCATAGTTAGGAGATGCATTCAAGAAATACGACGATATGTTTGACAAGTTGAAGTTGGGATGATGTTTATACTAGAGAGCATATCGAGGTATCATCACAAGAAGACGTTGATTGGCGTCTTTCATTTGGAGGTTGTCAATGACATTGACACATTCAACAACTATCCATAGGACAAAGTTGGCAATTATCAGCTCTCCTCGACGATCCTGAAATACATATTTTTCATTTTGTGATTTATGTTGTACGTCATTTCGAAATCTCGATGCATGGTCATTAACTCAATGAAATGTTAATATGTCAACTTGAATTGCTCACTGAGCTGATACCGTTGATCGAGGAGGAGGGTCAGAGTCATATCTGAAGAGATACAGTACGTAGGTGATAGGGGTTCCAGACAGTGACAGAAAGTAGCGGAGATGGTAACAGAGAGGGTGACGGTGGAGGGGTTGGGATGTACACAGTTGTTTCATTAGAATCATTATAGATGTCAGTGGAGATGGAAGAAGTGTCGGTGGTGGGGATGAAATAATTGTAATAATTGTAATTTTTTTATTTATGAAATAATTGTATATATTGTGAAATTTATTTAAATAAGGTAATGAAATATTAAATACATACTACACACAACTAATTAAGATAATTTATAAATGAAATATCTAAATAAGAAATTAAATTAAATATTACTTTTTTATTTAATTAAGTGATTAAATAAATAATTAAACAACGTAATTAAATATTAAATAAATAATATACATAACTATGTCGAAGAGGACCCCCAACTTGACAGATAATATCGTGAGTTTGGATGGCATCTTGTACGAAACATATTATTAACGTGCCAGAGCAAATTGTTAGCAAGAGCACTAGATTTCTGTCACAACATATTGTTTCTCCGTACACGATCGAAGCAAAGAAAAGAACATCTGTTGACGGTACGTTGCCCAACTTCTTTCGTGAAATCGACTAGGGAGATTGTGAAATCTTCGCATTTAAATTAGGGCTGTAAATGGATCGGATTTATGGATCGGATTTGCTCAAATTCGATCTGATCCGTTAATAACAATTATCATATTCGATCTGATCCAATAATCCGACGGATATTTGAATGTTAAATCCATATCCGATTAACTATGTTATCGGGTATCCAATCCGAAATTGAAAAAATTAGAAAAATAAAGATTTTATTTATTTATCAGATAGGAATGACCTATATCCATATTTGATTCATTTAGTTAACGGATTATCGAGTTTGAATATCGATTGGGTTATCATATTTAAGGCCCTAAATTCATTTCCGATTAATTTCATTGGATTTAGATCGAATTCGGATCAAAATCCAATCTATTGATTCATTTAGTTAACGAATTATCGAATTCGAATCTTGATTGGGTTATCGGATTGAGACCCTAAATCCATCTCCCATTAATTTCATCGGATTCAGATCAAACTTCAATCCATTGACAACCCTAATTGAAGTATATTAAATTTTTAGCATCGAACGTGGTGTAGAGCTAATAAACTAAACACACATTAAAATGCAAGCGTTCTTTTATATACACTGTGATCCGTAATTATAATAATTTCAAAAGTAAGCATTTTTTTTTAAAACGTTTGTAATACGTTAGTTTTTATGTAATTATATAATAAATAACTAATTACTCTTAATTACATATATAACACACTATAAATAAAGAAAATTGAGAAAATCAATAACACACTATAAATAAAGAAAATCAATAACACACTATAAATAGAGAGTACATAGGATTTAAATAGATATTACACATTCGTTGGGTAGAGAGTAATATACCATAATTGGGAACTTCTTACTCAACTTCATTTTGTAGAGCAAATATAGTATTGACATTATTGAATAATGTTTGATGTATTGTAAATCTGACCATGCCTAAAGTTCAACTTCCATCTTTGTTAAATATTTTCATACACCATGTGATTTATGTTCTAATTAAATATTAAATAAATAATATACATAACCAATTATGATAATTAATTAATGAGATATTTAAAGAATAAATTAGATTAAATATAAATTTTCTATTCGAATAAGTGATTAAATAAAGTAATGAAATATTACATAAACTATATACATAACAAATTAAGATAATTAATTAATGTTAAAGAAAAAATTAAATTAAATATTAATTTTTTATTTGAGTAAGTTTTTAAAATAAATAATTAAATATGCATAACCAATCAAGATAATTAATAAAAAAAATATTTAAACAAGAAATCAAATTAAATATTGGATAATTCTACATGTACTAATTCATAAGGATGTTCATAATGTACATATAGAATTCCATGAGTGGAAGATCGAAAAAACTGTTTTTCAAATATCCAATAATGTTATGTCATCTGTACATTATGGTATAATATTTTTATTTAAATAAATAACTAAACAAAGTAATTAAATATTAAATAAATAATATACATAACCAATTAAGATAATTAAATAATGAAACATCTAAATAAGAAATTAAATTAAATATTAATTTTTTATTTAATTAAGTGATTAAATAAATAATTAAAAAATAAATAAATAATATACATAGCTAATTAAGACGATTAATTAAAAAATATTTAAATAAGAAATTAAAATAAATATTAATTTTTTATTTAAATAAGTGATTAAATAAAGTAATTAAATATTAAATAAAGAATATACATAATTAATTAAGATAATTAATTAATGAAATATTTAGAAGAGAAACCAAATTAAATATTTAAACGAGAAACCAAGTTAAATATTAATTTTTTTATTTGAGTAAGTGTTTAAAATAAATAATTAAATAAGGACCAATTAAGATAATTAATTAATGAAATATTTAGAAGAGAAACCAAATTAAATATTTAAACGAGAAACTAAATTAAATATTAATTTTTTAATTTGAGTAAGTGTTTAAAATAAAGAATTAAATAAGGACCAATTAAGATAATTAATTAATGAAATATTTAAAAGAGAAACCAAATTAAATATATATTTTTTTATTTGAGTAAGTGTTTAAAATAAATAATTAAATAAGGACCAATTAAGATAATTAATTAATGAAATATTTAAAAGAGAAACCAAATTAAATATATATTTTTTTATTTGAGTAAGTGTTTAAAATAAATAATTAAATAAGGACCAATTAAGATAATTAATTAATGAAATATTTAAAAGAGAAACCAAATTAAATATATATTTTTTTATTTGAGTAAGTGTTTAAAATAAATAATTAAATAAGGACCAATTAAGATAATTAATTAATGAAATATTTAAAAGAGAAACCAAATTAAATATATATTTTTTTATTTGAGTAAGTGTTTTAAATAATTAATTAAATATAAAGTGAAAAGTGTTTGGTTTTTTAATTTGTAATATAAGGGTATTTTTGTCTTTTTAAACAAAATTCTATCTTTGTAATTGTATAAATTACTTAAGGATATTTTTGTCTTTTACTCAACAAATGGTCATTTTGAAGATTGGCAAAATATTTTGATCAAAGTGAAAAAATGGCATATTGACTAGGTTAATTTAAAAAGTACCCCTTGCACGTGCAGAATGGGGCACAGTGGATCGGTAACACTGTGCAAAATTCGGTGACTATTGAGATACATTTTAAAATTCGATTATGAAGTAGTAACACTTGGCGAAATTCAGTGACCATTGAGTTACATTTTTAAGTGCAGTGACTAAGTAGTAACATAGGACAAAGTTCAATGACCATTCATATAATTAACCCTTTCATTTTTCCACTACAAAGTTACAATATAAATAAGAAAGAGGGAATTTATTTTTTAAACTCTAGTTGGTTTATAGAGGAAATAATAAAAAGAATACTAATCAAAGAAAGAAAATGGACAAAAAAATTTTAAATTAAACATTACTTTACTTTAATTTTTTTCAATAAAATAAATTTTTAAAGTGGATCTATAACATTTTCTCTACTTTTTTTTCCCGTTTGGCTTCCGTTAAATTAATTTTTATTTTTATCTCTTATATTTTCAACTATACAATCTTTCATAAAATAATATTATAAGTAAGTTAAAAAAAAATTCTTTTTTTTTAATCACCCATTCTCAAAAAAAAAAAAAAAATACTATTCCACCCATTAAAATTTAAAATAATTTCTCCAAAAGTATAATTTTTCATAAATTTTATTTCGAAAAAAATATAATACATCAAACAGGATCTAATTTAGCCCCCGTTTGGCCCCCATTCTTAGTTAATTTTAATGTATCGAATAGTATTTTTTTGAAAAATGTGTGGTTGAAAAAGAATGAGAATATTTTGATTTGTGTGTAATATTATTTTATGTAAGATTATGTAGTTGAAAATAAGAGAGAGAAAAAGAATGAAAATGAGAATGAGATAAGAATGGGGGCCAAACATGGACTCAATTACATTACATTTCATTTTTCTCTCTCATATTTTCAACCACACAATCTTCTATAAAATAATATTACATGTAAATCGAAATTTTTTCCTTCTTTTTCAACTATTCATTTTTCAAAAAAATACCATTCCCCCCATTTTCATTTTCAGAAAATGGGGGCCAAACGACTGAGTTAGGCTGAATGCCCCATGCTGGAAATCCACCAGGACCATAGGCATAGTCGGGAGAGCACTGTAAAAATTTATAAAGCTAAAATGAACAACACCTCTTATATAGTTAACCACAGATTTAGCAAGAGTTAAATATGCAAGCAGGGAAGCACATTCACTCCTAATATTATTATGTTTTTCGTTGACACCCCCCAAAAATACTCAGAAAAGGAAAGAACTGATTGATCTTAAGCAATGATAAATTCCAATAGTGAGACAAAAAGGTTGGTCCAGCAAAACTTGCCATCTTGCTTAAGAATTTCAACTACGATTCTAATAAGCAAAGTATCAATCAATGAAGAACTGAAGTATGAGCCACAATAGTTGTAGGTGTAAGAGAGTAAGAGAGAGGTTTCATTACCAATTAGAGCTTAAACAAATACTCGGGCGGTATATGTCATGATAGAAAACCTAAGACGAAAAATGTTCCACAACTGAGCTTAAATTAGAAACTTGTTAAAATTTGGCCCCTTACATTTTATACCAAATATATATTTACAAAGATGTTCCAATTTATTAATGGGCATTAACGCTAGATACCATAGTGGCACAGTCATATAATTACACAAAAAAGTGAGTCGAGTTCATTTTCATGCTTTTGTACTCCTCATTTTATAAAAGTTTGAATCTCACAGGAAGCAGAAATTCAAAAGCTCAAGAACAAGAGACACACAGATTGTGTCATGCTTCATGGTCAACATCTGGCATGTTCTCAAACGTATCATCCCACCACCAATTTCCCAACTAAAGCTATGGTCATTTGACGCAATGTGGATTAATCAAATGATGGAAATGACATTTAACCACGTACGAATGAAACCAAGTATTTAAATATTACCTGTAATCGAGCAACTTCTCCCACTTGCATTCCCAACACACCTTCATCCCATCCTGTGGAAAAAATTGCGGTACATAATTGTAATTACAAAAAAAAAAAAATTTCACATTGAGCAATTCCAGGAAGCAATTTTCAAGCTAGCAAAAGCCTTAGCATAATAGCTAAACTACAAAATAACATCTTGATGATACAAGTTACAATACATAGTGGATTTAGCCAATTTATACAACATGGAGTTAAGAAGATTAAACAAATTGAAACGCATGAAATGATTCCTTTACTCGGAATTTGCAGCAAAATACCAGCAACTCGTTGTTTCCACAAAGTATAAAAGAGAAAACTGGTTGAACTAGTTCAAAATCAAATCTCTAGTGTGTCGCTTTCACTAGGATTTCGCACAGCTAATTATCTCGACCCATCCAAGGACCAGAATACATTCAACTCTTGCAAATTTTAATCAAACCCAACGAAGATCTATACTTCCATTTCACATTTCCATTCAGTTAATTCTCTTTCCTTCCTACCGAAGTTCGAAAACCAAATCATCTATTACAGATAATAGAACCAAAAAAGAAAAAAAAAAGAAAAAAGAAAATCAACAGAAGAGTACCTTTGATTACTTTTCCTTGGCCAATTTGGAAAGCGAAAGGCTTCTGCCCTGGATCCTTGGTGCTATTACCAAAAATTTCAAATTCATGGTTATTTACATAAGTAAATATTTAAATCTATATCTATGCGCGCCTAAAAAAAAAAAAATAATAAGAATTGAAACCTATAAAAAGAACAAATTTACCTCCAGAATTTTTGGGAAAGGTCACCATTTTTACCAAAACCGGTGCAGTGGACGGTAACTTTCTGTCCGGGGACCGGTTTGGGACCAGTTCCAGCCGTCAGAATTTCCTTTTCCACTCCCATATCTCCGATTTTCTTGCTTTGGGGAGTTAGGGTTTGTTCCGGAACTCTGTGTAGTGTAGATTGAGCACCGTCGGTGATTGTAGAATCATCTTTAAAGTGTGCTGCACGTGAGAGGAAACAGTGGCCAATAGTTGGCTGACACGGTTATATCTTCAAAGGGGCCTTGACCAATTAAAAAAAAAAAAAAAGCTAAAATGTTTAAAATATTGAGAAATCCAAATTTACCCTTACTATTTAAAGAAAAAAGAGAAGATAGTAAGGAAAGAGGAAAATTACTGTATCACTGATAAAAAAGGGAAAATAGACGACTCATCTTTAATGTTTTTATGTTGATTTTTGGAAGAAAAAAATATTATTTTGTATACATGTGTTGATTTTTGGAAAAATGCATGATTCTTAGATATGGATAATAGTTTGGGAAGAGGAAAATTGAGTGGAGATCGTCGAAAATGGAGTTTTCCAACAGTCTCCACAAAGGAGACGGTTAGCCCAGCTGAGTGGACCGTTTAGGCATGCCCAGACAACCCAGACTCACCCACTGGGCTGTCTGGGCGCCAGTTGACTGGGCCAGTCAACTGTGTCCAGATGACCCAATCAACTGGGTCGCCTGGGTGCCCAGTTGACTGGGCTGCCCGCCTGGCGCCTGGGTGCCCAGTTGATTGGGTCGCTTGGGCACCCAGTTGATTGGGCTGCCTAGTTTAAGCCCAGAAATTTTTCTTTTTAAAATTACTTATTTATTTACTTCCTTTAATTTTTGAAGTTAACTATTTATTTTAATTGCTTATATTGTATTGTCTAATATTTAATTATTATTTGAATTGTTTAATTTTAATATATATTATGTATTTAAAATTATTTCTTTGAAATGCTTAATATAAATGTTTTATGGGTAATTGGCACAAAACGTCCTTACCTTTCAAGTCTATTGTGGAAAACGTCCTTACCTTTCATTTTTTGGCATTTTTGCCCTTATTTCAACATTTCTTTGCGCTGGACGTCCTTCCATCCATATTCCGTTAGTTTTTCCATTAATTAAAGGGTAATTGGCACAAAACGTCCCTACCTTTCAAGTCTATTGTGGAAAACGTNCTATTTACTTGGTATTTTCTTTTCTCGTTCCTCCTTCACATTCTACTCAATGGAGTACTATATTTGTTTTTGCTTTTTTTTTTAAATACATAATATGTTAGAAAATCCTCATCCAATGTAACTTTAGTACGATTATTTTAACAAAACTTAAGAACGGACGTACACAATAGAACTTATTAAGCCCCCGTTTAGTCCCCCTTTTTTTTAAATGAAAATGAGTAGAATGATATTTTTTGAAAAATAAGTAGTTGAAAAAGAAGAAGAAATTTTCGATTTATGTGTAATATTATTTTATAGGACCAATCTAGATGTATATAATTTTTTTTTTTTTTACAGACCTCCTACAAATAACACACATTGGTGGCGTGGGTGGTTTATTTTTTGAAATAAAATATTCACATAGGGCCCACCCCCATGTGAAATTTCTGTAAAACTTCTAACAATGGTTTGTCTGTATACTTGAATTTTTCCTATTTTATAGTAGATTGTGTTATTGAAAATAAGAGAGAAAAAAATGAAATGAAATTTAATAGGGGCCAAACGAAGCATAATTATTATGTCCAATCTTATCATTAGTCATGGTTCTCGAGCAACTCATTTCATTTCACTATGATGGAGATTAAAATCAGAATTTTTGTAAATTTTAGATGAAATGTATGATAGAAAAGATATGAATTTTATAAAATATGTTGTTGAAATTAATTGATGACTTTGACTTAAAATAAAATCTAGATTTTAATCCCTACTAAATCAGAACAAATTATTTTGGTCATACTCGCTACGAGTCCCTAATTTGCTTGACAAGATAGAAAATGATCGTGTGAAACTAATTAAAGTGGCTAGTTCAATCAAATGATTGATTCTTGTTGTCACGAGTAAAATTAATCAAAGATAATGATTTTATGGAAACTTTTTAGCTCTAAAGAGTCTTTAAGTTGGGCACTCACACTTGCTTTTTCTATTTTATATGTAGGGTTGTGACATTATTAAACTTTCTATCTAAATTTAGGTTGATGCATGATAACCTCGCTCATACCTCAGATGACATTTTTTTAAGTTAAATAAATCACGATAAAAAATTCGAGTGGATACGTACTTATATGGCTAATTCTATAAATCATATTAGTCTAGTGAATAAATTAGAATAAATCTAAAATTCGAGGAAAAAATTACTTTTTTTATTTAAGTCATGACAAACAATAAATATTTGATGAAAGTCTACTGTCATAACAACATTTCGATATTGTATCTATCTTATTTACAAGAAATTGTCATTTATACTATTTTTAATTTGTGTTTTGCTCCCTACGAGGAGGATGATTTAAAAATTAAAAAAGGTGAATAGAAAGAACTATATTGTAATCTTGCAATATATTATTTTTAATTTTCATTTTTAAGAATCATTATATTATTCAAGATAAATTGGATAAACTCCATAAAAAAGGAAAAAAAAGGCATTGAAATCAATTTCAAGTCAACTGCAAAAGTATTAAATAATTTATTTTGTCAGCTCTTAAAAACAACCTTTCAATTAAGCCCCCTGTTTGACAAAATATTTTTGGAAATAATGAGTTTTTGAATAATAAATTTCTAGTTAATGTGTGATTAAAAGTAAGTAAAAAAATAAATTTATGTGAAAAAATTTTATTGCAAAAGTATATGGTTGAAAATGAGTATTACAAAAAAGGAATTTAACAAATATGATTGTCAAATCTAATTGATGCCAAGTTGCCAGTACTTTAAACTTGGACCCTCTCTATCCTTAGTTCCATACTAAGTCATCGTTTGAGCCTCATTGTTTCTCAATACATTAAATTAAATATTTCTCTTTCCTACTTTTAACCACACAATCTTCAATAAAATAATATTACACATAAATCAAAAAAATTTCAACCATTCATTTTTCAAAAAAAATATCATTCATCTCATTATAATGCCAAATAATGGGGCTCAAACACGCTCTAAATGTATAGGAAATTTGCTCTGGGAGTTGTCTCCCTAGCATTTGCCAAGACAGAAAACAGTTTTTTTGTCATGGCTAGGGAGGCAATTTCCCTAGCACACTTACTCCTTGTACAAGTACTAGTGGAATTATCCGTTGAGTCATGCTTGGTATACACTCAAGTGTACACGAAGTTTGATAGTCTCCTCACTTGCAAGGGAGTTGTCGTGAATAAAAAGCATCGTTAGTGATAACTTGTATTAATTAGAGAATGATAATATGATTTTAAAAGGTTAAGAACATGAATATGATAATGAGTAAAAATATAGAACTATTATATATAGAAAATATGGTGCAAAAATATATTTACAATTGAATCAACAACCCCACAGAATATATATGGTCCCGTTTGATAGCTATTTTTTTAAAAATGAGAATAAAAAATATAGCCGTCACTGTTGGAAAAAAGTAATTAGTTGCAGTAGTGATCTGAACAATATAATGCAGAAATATAAAATTTATCGTCCGATCGAGTCTCGTGACAGCACGATGTCCTAAAGTGAAATTGCCCGTCGACAATTGTTGCGACCTCGGTGGACAATCACTTCCAGGATACAACGATCGTAAACCATTTGTGCAGCAATCACGAATGGTTTTTCTAGAACTCTCAATTGTACTCCAGAATAAATGTAAAACCCGAATATAAGAAATTCAGAATATGAAAAGGAGGGTTGATGCAAGATGATTTTTCTATTGTCTTTTTGCGTGTGTTTTTTCCAAAATGAGATATGGGTTTATATAGGCAAGATGGTAGTAACACTCTTCACCATGTTAATTCAGAATTTTAATGACTGAGTAGTAGGTGTTTTAATGGTTGTTAGTGGGTTGCTACAAAAACAAACAGTCAGAAAATACTGGCTAATTTTACCTATTAAATAATTAAAAAAAATATTTATTTTAGTCAAGGTAATAAAGAAAAAAAATATTTATTTTAGTCAAGGAAGCCCAAGGCCCCAATCAAAATATCTGCGTGAGGAGTGACTCGAACCCCTGACGTCCCACACAAATGTTACATTTCCCACCACTTTGACACTTTATCTAATTTGATTATTTCTTTCATATTTTATATTTATACCATAAATATATAACAGTCACGAGATCCATGCAAAAGATAAAAAGTCAAATATGATGATTTGATATGATGGATAATTGTTTTATTTTTCATTTTCGTGACAAAAAAATGGAAATCAGACGGGGGTATAATTATCTTCGAGTCCCCGCGGACCCCACACGTATGCATCCTAAAGCCAACGGTCCCACCCGTCTCATCCCCACGGATACCTATCCGTTCCTTTCTCTAAATCATTCCCCCATCCCTCTCTACGTTCTCATTTTCAGATTTTCTCGATTTTCTACACCAGATCTCCTTCTCTTCAATTGATCTCTCTCTGGTTCATGGTGGTTGAATTTCAAATCATTCATTAATCTTTACAGACCCAACATTTGTTTTTGCATAATGTGAATGGAAATGAAACGGAACTCCATTTGAATTGAGAGAGAAAAGAGAGATAGGGGAGGGAGAAATTTGAAGAACCCTAGTCATGGAATTTGCAAGATTTAGGGAATTGATGCTCCTGTGGTGTAGAATTAGAAGCAATCGTTTAGCTCTCGTGGGTGGGAATCACACAGCTGCCAGATTTTGTACACGCTAAAAATCCTTTCTTTTCACGTTTTCTGGCTTGTTCTCTCTTTCAAAACTGAAAATTTCAAATTTTCGTACTGTCCAAATTTGTGATTGACCATTTTTTTATTGTTGATAAACAACCCACGTTTTAGTTTTGGACCTCTTGACCGAGCAAAATATGGACAGCAAGGCTCGTGGTTATCGAGCCAAGGAACGAATCAAGATGAACAATGAGGTGAATGGATTTGGGATTGGATTGAATTCTGATACCCTTTTGGTTATTAAGCTGCCGGATATGAGGGTTCTGCGTATTATGTCAAGATCATTGTTCTTGGCAGTGGTTCTTCTCGCATTACTTT